TCAGTCACTGGTGCATTCACACTTAGATTATGCCTCTGTGGTTTGGTCCAACACCAATGAAAATTGTCTAGACAAGTTACAAATTGTACAAAATAAGGCAGCGCACATGGTATTGGGGAGTCCGTACAGAACCAGTAAAAATCTGTTACACAATATGTTGTCCTGGCTAAAAGTAAGAGAGAGATTGGAGTTTTCATTAACAATGTTTATTAGAAATATCATTACGACAAAAACTCCAAATGTAATTCATTCCACCTTGTCTTTTTTCGCGGATAAACATGATTATTCCACAAGACAAAGTATGCATGGATGATGTGTGTTACCTACGTGCAGAACAATTAAAATGCAGACAACTGGTCTATCGTGCAATGGTGCTATGGAATGCACTACCAGGATTTCTGTTGAGGGAAATTGATCAAAATTGTTTTCAGAAAAAACTCCAAATATTTTTATTTTCCCAAAGATAATGTCAAGCTAAACATCTTCTGAAGTGAGCTGTATTTTAAATTTTAAGGATGTATTTTGTTATGTTTGGGCTTTTGAGAATTGAATTGTGATTTTTCTACACTGCAATATTATGTTGAAATTAGTTGTGTGTGTGTGTGTGTGTGTGTGTATTGTCATGTATGAATGATGTGCACAATATGTGTATATATATAAATTGTAATGACTGTATGAGATGACTCCCCATGAAGAATAGTGGCTGTATGTCAGCAGCTAATGGGGATCTTAACCCTTTGATGCATGAATTATGAAATCTTCAACCGCGATTTTTTTAACAATTTTTTTCATTCATCTTTAGGTGTGAATGAAACAAATTTCAACAAACATTTTTTGTTAAAGTTTATAATTTACAAATAATTTATTACATGTCCACCTTGATGGACAGCGTGCATTCTGAGCATGAAATATGTTGGCTTGGCTTACTGAAGTCCAAATGGAGGGGCTCAAATGCAATAAAGTCTTCAACAGCTGTGCTTAATAGCAAAAACAAATAAATAACAATTTTGAGTACCTGTCCACTGTAGTGACCATTATGCATCAAAGGGTTAATAAACAAACAAACAAACTCACACAAGAGTCTGGCTGCCTGGAAGAAGTGGTGGCTCAAAACTTGTGCACAGCTCTGTGCAACGGATTTGTTTCTTTCTCTCATTCTTTCTGTTTTGGTATTTAAATAATCTGTCAGGCTGAGCAGGAGGAGGTAGGACCCAAAACGCAGAAGCCCAGAATGACTCGAGGCAGGAGTGGTTTTAAGAAAATAAATTCCTTTTATTAATGGAGGGTTAACAAAAATCCAAAGGCGTAAAACCAAGCTTAATCTCAAGAAACACAGAATGACCATGAAACAAAACAGAAGCTCACTTATGAGCATGAACCTGGAGAAATTTCAAGAGACAAAACAACGCTGACAAACAACAATGGACCGACAAACACCGAGGGACAAGACAGGGCTTTTAAACACAGAGGGGGGAGATCAGGGGAACAGGTGACAGGTGTGAGTGATCTCTGGAGGGAAGGCAGGTGCATTCAATAAACTAAATGGGGAAAGACTTAAGCTGGAGGGAAGAAAAAACATTAACCTATAAAACACGGAATAACTAAACCTAAAGACTAAGGGCAAAAATAAACAACTAGAGGGATGAGGAGGACTAATGCAAAATCAAGTGGGGATTACCAGGGAGTGACTAGGGGAAACCAGAGGGAAGCCTAGAGGGAGCTGGGGATAATAATGGGACATAAGAGGAGAACCTGGAGGAGAACAGGAGGAGGCTGGGGACAGAGGGACACAGAACATGACATATTCTACATGTGTGAAAAATGAGGCTGATTTCTTCAATATCCACATGCTTTGGAGTGCACCGATCGAGGCGGAAATGTTGCACCCAGGACTGTCATTTCAGCCTCACTCACATTTCATTTCTCAACTTTGGACTATTTCATGGTACATGAAAGAGGTTGGGAACATTAAAGGCGGAGTTTGAAAGTCTTCCTTATCATTAACTTTAATCTCATACAGCAAACAAATGGGTGAATCAATTTTGTGATGAAACTCAGTCGTTGGCCTTGTCGTCGCCACTTAGGGCCACAAGGGTAATTAATTTATATTCAATAGGAAGTCAAATACACTCCCAGACTCTCCTAGCCATCATCTTGTTGCTGAGCTTCTTTGGATCAAAAGGATTTCCTTTATCCCTCCTTGCTCTGCAGTCTGATGGCTTGTGTCTCAGGGCTTGCAGAATAATAGAGATCAAGGGATTGCTGCTAGAGGCCAACAGATATGAATTGGGTGTCACAGTAGTTCACACATTCCAGTGGAGTTGACTTGGTTTGGTGTCAAGGCTAGACAAATTCATTTTGGATTACTTTAAAACATTTACACAGCTGACAAAATAACTTCTTCACATTTAGAACACTTTTTTGATTATGTGTGCAACTAATTGCGCATCCGAAATCTGCAGCTTGAGGTGATGAACCTATCCGTGCCATCTGTCAGGCTGGATTAGGACCGGACTGTGGTTAGGAGTTTGTATGTAGCGTGAGTGAATGACCCAAATGCAGAAATACCAGTGCCGGGCAGAGCAAGCACGCAGTAATGTAGGTATGTGGTTCGAAGGGAAACAAACTCATACTATGACTCCACAAAAGAAAGGCAGAACTTACTATTCTTAGAAGTAGGGCTGCACGATATTAGGAAAATCTGCAATGTACAATAACAGTGATTAATTTTGCAATGACGATATGACTTGCAATAAATAAACAAAAACTTAACTCAAGAACAGAAACAAACAAATAAAAAAATTCATGAATGACTAAAAAAGATAAAAAATGAGATAAGCAAAAATTGTGATCAAAAGATGTGAAGAAATGGGAGAAAATTAACAAGAAAAGGCAATCGGTGGATCCTGGGAACAGCAAAATGGGCAGAAAGAGCAGAACAAAGCTAACTCAGGTATTTGCTAGCCATCTAAGTTAAGTGCTGTTTGCTTAGGGAGAGGGGAACTAGCCCAACTGGCCAAATGGATGAAGAGCTCTATTTGATGTGTCAAAACTTCATGCTTCTTTTTAACTGACAAAATAGAATCAGAATCAGAATCAGAAGTTTTTATTGCCATATGTGTGCCAAGTCACAACATTAGGAAATTGCTGCGGTATTTTGGTGCAGAAAGTAAGATAGAAAAAAAAAATTTATTAAGAGATAAGCAAATATAAGAACTAATAAAACACTCATGATAAAATTATTAATGTAAAATGCATTAATTGTAGCAAACATTTGAGCTGACCATTCATTGCGGGTTTTGTTTTCTGCTCTCTGCAATATGCGTATTGTGCATGCCAATATTACGATTACGAGACATTTGCGATGCATTGCGCAGCCCTACTTAAACACTACTTAAGGGTGTTCATGGTTGCGCTGAATGACTCCAAAAGAGGAAGCGATGACTGAGTGATTGAGGAAATGGAACATTTCTGTATATAGAAGTGAAATGCCGGCAAACGGACTTCTAGCATCTGGTTCTTCTTCCGTCGATGCTGGTTGATGGAGCCGATGACTCCATCATGGTAAATAAAAAGTGACATTGTGATTCACTCGGCCTGTAAATGAATGCTAGACGTCATGGCATAAATTGTTTGCCGTAAAACAAAATCATTTGTGTATTTTCAGGCTGTGTTTTGATGTATGTTTTTTTTTTATTTATTAAGTACTTGTGAAGTAATTTATTCAACAAAGTTCTCACAAACATTTCCTCAAAGGCGGCGAGATCCAAAAATATCCAGGAGCAGAAGAGGGAATTTGAAGACTTTCTGTTTTATTATTAAAAGCCAACAGTCACTTGTGACATTTGCATCCTAATAACTGCAAGATAAGTTGAAACTAAGTTGGCACTCCGAACCCAATCTCCATAATGGGATTTATAGGCGAAAAGTGTTGCTTTTAATGCTTTTGTACATGCAGACGGCAGAGTGGTGTAGGCAAAATGTGTCAAGGAGGATGTTGATGTATTCACATAAGCATCAGTATTCTCTGTCATGCCTTTCAGTGGCACAAAGATAGGAGGCATGCTGATAACTGAGAAAGTATGAAGGTGTAATCTTTCAGTTGCCTCTGCTTTTTTGGCACTTGCCTCTTGATAGACTATACTGTGTGTTCCTATTAATTTCTTCCTCTTGTTCATTGCAGCATGCTGATGGTGTGTAGTCAGAGGAAGCTGCACCATCAGTCAGTTAAATGTACCAAGGAGAGGCAGTTTGAACAAAGGCTTTACCTAATTTCCTTCCTTCATCCTTAACCTTTCTCTGCACGACCATCGATAATCAAACATTTATTTTCCACATTATCAGTACGGATCTCAGCCAGCCATCAACATATTGAGTATTTAGACTAATACGTGAATCTCCGTTGATCAGTTACAGAGGGAGAATATCTCATTATCATTTCCAAACATTTTGGAACTTTATTTGAGTCAAAGCAGAGATGAATTACAGCTTAGTCCTTGAGAAAATCAATTGTGCGTCTCCAGAGGGATGGTAAATGGTTTTACGCTGCGTAGAGGCAGCTCTTTATGTCAAAAATACATAATCTGACTCAGACAGATTCAAATGGCCGGTGCAGTGCTTTATTACCTGCTAGGGTTGTGTCTGACAGCCGGCCTGCACTTTGTTTTGTCTCAGCAGGTTTGAGAATCAGAAAGCAATCCCTTTATGTTTCTTATGCAGGCACGACCTCTATTATGCAATATTAAACACACTTAAGTACATCGTTCAGAGGATGTGCGGTGAAGAATAAAGTTCCTATTAAATGTCACTCAGACCTGTTCGTAAAGGTTTTATGCCATTAGCAAAAGTTTTCGTTTTAGTGGACAGGGTAAGATGTATGAATTTGCCATCAACTTTCAAATCCGAACCGTCGGTGTCTTTGTGAAAGCCGTCCTGTTGATGAGACCCAACAGTTCTGAATGTTTAATGATTCCTTCTTCTCTCTTCTCTTTATTTGACAGAAGAACAGTGAAACTGCTGCAAAGGACAAAGGCAGAAGTCTACGCACCTGTGATTGGATATGAGCTTCGTCTGACCCAAGACCATTAAAATGGAGTTGCTATGGAAACTTATAGTGCTGCTGTCATTGGTAGAGCATCGATCAGGCAAGTCACCAAAACATGCATTTATTTCATAATTTTCCTTAGATCTTCTGGCTTATTATCATCTATAATTAAAAAAAACGAAAGGCAGTGATATTTTTGCCTTTGCGTGCGTTAGAGAATTTCTAGTTGACTATTTGAATAATTTTACGTTAGGTTACAGCTGATTGATTTTTGTAGTCAACTCAAATGAAACTACAACAGTCTAACAACAGAAATCACCAAAATGGCTTTAGCTTTTTAAACCTTACGGATCGTCAAGTAAAATGTGTGTTTAGTGGTACGGCTGACTGGTTCAAAGTGACAATGTTTATTTTTACTGTTAATCCCTGGAAATATCAATCGAAATGTTGTTGAAAATGAATGAAAAGATGCCCAGTTGTTAAAAAATTTTGGTAGCTTAACATATAACCATAAAATTCGAGTCTCAAGTACATAGGACGTGGGTCTAAGTCTCTGGGGGACGCCATATTAGAAGCCATGCTTCTTCTGGCTGGCTTGGGGTCCTGTGCCCGTTAATGATGTCACACTATGGCTGGACTTAAAGTTGCGTTACCATGTTAAAAAACATTTAGGTGGAAAGAAACATGAATTAAACAACAAAACTGCTAAAGTCTTTACAAAACGTGTGAAAGAACAGAATTGAAAAAGAGATGCGATATATCTTTGGCCAAGTGGTATTGCCATAGTATGATGTCATCAGCAGGCGCAGGATCCAGAGCAGATATGGAAAGTACAGCATCAGAAACCTGGCATCTGCACTGCATTCTCTTGATGGATTTATTTGAAGGACCATCAAAGTCTGAGGAATCAGGCTGAGGTTGCATGCTTTCTGCTCCACAGGTAACATTTACCGTAATCTTTTTTTAACTAGCCACAGTCATGGTGATATGCTGTATCTACTGCCCCCTACTGCCAGGAAACCACACACTCCCACTTTAGGGAAATTAATGAATTGCAATTTCAGTTTAGCCTTTATCCAAGAAGAGCCTCGTTAACGGATGACTTTGCACTTTTTTGCTGCCCCACCTAGATTTTATCTGCATGTTTTCGTTGGTTTTTAAATGGGTTTATATGTTTTTTTTTATGTTTACTTCTGCTGTGCAGCGCTTTGTTTGGTCCTTGGGCCATGTGAAGGCGCTATATAAATAAAGTTTAGTAGTAGTAGTAGTAGTAGTAGTAGTTCATTTAAAAACTTTTTTCCGATCAAGCTTCAGCGCAATATTCTCAATGTACAGTAGCATTTACAACTCAAACCATCAAAACAGAAGCTAATAAACCTATAATGCAAGGATAAAAAGGGTAAGAATTGGTTTCAAGTGTATTTATTACCAGCTCCTCCAGGATTGTATTTCTAAGGCAGGTCACTTGAAGGTTATTTAGTCAAATGTAAATTTATTGACTGGGTCAGTCAGGAGAGCAGCTTTGTCATCAGCATAGATCAGAAAACAACAGACCGTTCAGCCCTACAAGCTAAAAGATGTCTACACTTGTTATTCCAAGCACCATGCATTGAACAAGATCTTTGTTTAACACTTCAAGATTAACTGCTATCAAACTATCTCATAAATTACTGAACAGTGGACAGATTTGTCCTCAGTCATTCATACATTCACACGCTGGTGATGACGAGGTACGATGTAGCCACAGCTGCGCTGGGGCGCACTGAAGGAAGTGAGGCTTCTGAGCAGAGGTGCCAAAGGTCCTTCTGACCACTACCAACAGACAAGAATGGCCAATTGTCTTGTCCAAGGATAGAACATCAACATTCTCTGCCAGGAGCCAGAATCGATCCTACAACTCCCGATTACTTGAAAACGTGCTCTACCTCGTGAGCTACTTCTACCAGTCAATCTCATCCAACACAAAATTCTATAACTTGAATAATAATGTAGAAATTGAGCTTAAATTTGTGTGGTAGAAGCTGGGAGACACCAACACAGTCTTTAAGAGCCAACAGTTCATGCAAAAATTTTGAATATTGCATCATGATTTCATTTCCAACATTTGACGATTCAAAATCCACAATTAGTGATATGCACTTCTTCAAAACAAGTTATGGCTTTAATTTATGTATTTTTTGTACCTAGACACTTTGATTACATGGTGCACTTTAAAATAAAACAGTCAAACATCTTGATTTAAGCTCAAGTAACAGCCAAATCTTCCAGAATCACAAACATAAAAAAATTTAATTTCTCTTCCGTGGCTGAAGGTGGGGAAATAATATTATTTCTGTTGAGCTTAGCTTCTTCCTCTTCTTCTATTTTCCATGAAGGGAATCCTTGTGGAAAACAAGGAGCAAAGTTCCATCTCCATATAAGACAACTTCTACATAGCAGCTGAATTTTCAGTCATTAATTTTAAAGGGCGCCTCAATTGTTTCCCTAATTGAGACTGCGCTGGTGGCAATACAGAAATCCTGTCATTGATCTAGCTTTTAATGAGAGACCTAATTTTCCTCTCTTAGAAAATGTTCAGGGTCAAATGCGAGTTCTCTTCAGAATGTCAGAGTCTGAAGCTGAGAACGAGATGAATGAGAGCTTTGTCGCACGAGCAAAAGGATCTTGAGGAAAGACTAATCTTTCATGTTGCAGCGCTCCTCCTTACAGCTGGGACCAAAAATAATTAGTGTGTGTGCATGTACAGGCTTGTGACTGTCACTGGGTGCATTTTTGGTAAACATACTTAAAAAAGAAAACAGCACATTGACACCTAAATTTACGTTCATTGCAATTAGCACCACTTATTGCTAAATCCGCACACTTCAGTGGATGTCTAATGAGGCTTTCCTCTGGCAACTGTAACTCACTGTGGGATTAGGAGCCACACCACAATTCTGGATCAGACAATTAAACATCCTAAAAATAAAGAATTTCTGACATTCCTCAAAATCCTGCCACAAACCAGGGATTTTTCTTTTTCTTTTTGGCGAGTGTCTGTTAAGCCTCAACATTTACTTCTCCAGTCATTAGTGGCAGAAACTAAACTTCACAGTTATCAATTCTTAGCGTTTTAGCGCTTGACAACGGAGCAGAGAGCCAGTTGTTTTTGGAAAGCATTGTGTTGCACAGTCCTTGACACTCAGCTGGAACTAATCATTAATATTCGGTGTAGGGGTTACATTACATGCGCTCTGCGAAAAAGACGAGACTGCAGTCCTTCTAAAGCCTCAGTGTCCTACAAAAAGCATGACAGGCATGTTAGTATGCAATGCTGGGTAGAGGCGGCGCAGAGTGAGTGTGTTCGCTGGTTGTTCCCTGTTTGGTCATTTATCCAGACACAGGTGTTTTTTTCATTGGTGTATGGGAGAATGATGTAACCGACGGTAAAGTCCTTCCCAAAGCGAGTTCATCTGGAGTTAACCACCTCCTCTCCTTCTCCTCTCTGAGGGTCTGACCAGCCCAAGGCAGGGGTGTGCGGTGTATGTGTGAATGAGTGAGTAGAGCACGAAAGCAGAGTGGAAGGATGCCTCCGCAGACAAATGCGGCTTTGTTGTAATCTTTAAACTTGGTTGGCAGAACATACTCACAAAAATATATACGAAGATGCTTATTTTACAGAATGATATTCTAAATTATTTCAATATCACAATAAGCAGTAACTTGACATTGTAATAATGTGGGCAAATGTCCGTGTTGGTCACATTATTAAATTTTTTTTACTGAAAATGCTGATTTACAAGCACTTTACTATAAGCTCTGTAAATTTAACAGTGGCTTCTTAAAAAATAAGTAGCTAGGGAAAAAAATACAGCAACATAAACACATTTGCTAAGATTGCAGCTCTTAGCAGCAATCATATGTTTTCCTTCTCTGTATATATAACCAAAAAAAAAAAAGTCTTGACTATTATTGAAGCTGGTGTGAGAAATAACATTTTTAACCAAAAATTGAATGTTTGGTTTTATGAAAATAAATCTTATACAGATGTTGAAAGTTATGTAATTAAACCATTTACCTCTATTGATGTATTTCAGCCAATCAGAATATGAAAGATGTTTTTGTGGCACACGGCTGAGGTTTGTTATGTCAACATGTTTTTTTAAACCCGTAAGAAATAAAAAAAATGTTTTGTAGGTAATTAAATTCTATTCAGAGACTATTAAAGGTGTGAATCACTCGTTTAATCAATGCATTGGCAGTAGTCTCTAGTAGGAATGCATGGCTTGTAAGTCTTACTCTGGGGAAACAAAGCTCCAGTGCATCAGTTTCTGGAAGTAGAAGTGAGCCACGTCAAAGTTGAGCTTCAGATGGCAGGATCTGGAGTTTTATTTTCTGATATTTGAACCTTTCGCTTTGGATTTGATAACAGCAATGTGACTCAACCACTGACTTTAGCTGCTTCCCAACACTGACGTTTTATCTCCACATATAACACAAGCTTGGAGGAGTTCTGTTGTGTGGTGGAGTTACTAATGCTAACAGTTAGCTTGTACTAGTCAAGACGTTCGCTGCTGATTCCTGGACGCTAAAACAACAACCTTTCCCGTCGTGAGTCAAGATGAATGTTAAGTGACGGTGTGACGTAGAGCTGTCAGGATTTTCACCATCTGTTTTTTATTAGAAGCCAATGGTGTAGGAGACTATTTTCATTTTCTGCCTGCATGAAAAACTCAGAAACAACCATAAATAATGTTTGTTTGTTTTTTTTTTTTTGGTGAACCACACCTCTGATGTATGTTTAGCTGGCCATCAAAAGTTTGTCTCATTCACTTTAGATCTATCTTTTGACCTTTTTTATGTAAAAATAAGTTTTGAAAATAATCCAAAGCTTTCAGAAAAGGGCAGAAGGAAGAAAATGATCATGTAACATGTCATAGGTGGTTACTTTTAACAAACTGTCAGTAAAATATAAAGGTATTCAATAAAAAGTAATATTCCCTAAAAATATGGATTATCAATATTATTGACCATCTAATAATTGATTGATGATGAAACTTGGTATTTGGGGTATGCCAGAGAAACAACACTTAATAATTTGACACAGAGGCAAAAATATAGTTTA